AATCTGGTAAGGGATTATGGGGTAAGTAAATAAATAAATAATAATATGTTGATAAATATAACAATAAGTAATTAATATGTATCCTTTAGGACTTTTGTGATTGACGTAATGGTGAATGATAATATATTTTTCCATTAGAATGGTATAAAAATTGTTTTTCAGAATGATGATGCATTGTTTCTTTAGAAATGATTTCTATTATCTCTTTAAGGATAATTGTTCATTTCTTTAAAGATAATTTCTATCATCTCTTTAAGATGATTCTATTATTCCTTTGAGGATGAATGTATTATTTCTTTAGAATGATTTTTATCATCTTTTTAGATTAATTACTCTCAGTATATTTTTATAATTTTCACAAAAATCAGTTTAATAGATTTTGACCAGTGAAATACAATTGATTTGTTACCAAATTTTGAGACTAATTGAAATTTTACTGAATATTATAACTAAAGATTGATACCATAATTAAGAAGTTGTAACTCGGTAAGTTGCAACTCCTTGTAAATTTATTTTAATATAAAAATTCATAAAATATTGCAACTCAAAGTGTTGCAACTTAAGTTGCAACTAGTTAAAAATTTTAAAAATAATTATGGGAACCATCTTTAATTATAACTGAAAAGTATTAGTTTCAAAATAATGCTAAATTATGTGTAATGTGGTAAATTAATATTGATTTTTATAATTCAGGCAGAATTTTTGCTAATCACATGACCAAATCAACTGAATGTTTAACGAAAGGCCTTAATATTGAAATAATACTAAATTATATGTGATGTAATAAATTACTATTGATTTTGCAACTTAAGCTAAATTTTTTCTGAATTATATGATCAAATTAGCTAAATATTTATCAAAAGGTTTAACACTGAAATAATGCTAAATTATGTATGATGTAATAAATGAATATCGATTTTTGTAACTCAAGTTGAATTTTTGTCAAATCATATAACTGAATTGGCTAAATATTTACCAAAAGGTATTAGTATCAAAAGAAATAATTTTGACTAGTAAAAATAGTATTAGATACTATATTACAATATATTAAAGCATGTGATTTAGAATTTAAAAAATATGCAATATAAGTCACTGATAATACTACTTATATATCTAAAGACAAAAAGGATGTAGTTGTTCTTATGAATTAAATGTGAATTTTATATTATCCAAATCATAACAAATAATTTTGAGTAAGAAGAATTTAGTAAACTCTTTAATAATAATAGATTTTCAAGAAAATCACATTTAAGGTTGCTTGTCTAAACTCATTTTGGATTTGGCTAAATGGTTAAACCTTTAGTTTTGCTAAATTTTTACTAAGTGTTTGATATAGTTTTGCTATTTTTATAAGCTTTGATATAGTTTTACCTTTTTCTGAATTTTGCAGATTTTTTAATAAGATTTTAATATAATTTAACCAAGTTTTACTTTTAACTATTTAAACGTTTGTCTAAACTCTTTATTTTGCTCAGCAACCTTAATCATATTCTTACAATTTAGCATGAATAATTGCTAATTTTAGTGATAAAAATAAACCACTCAACTTAAATTCTCAAATAATAAAAGATTTATATAATAAATTATTAGGATTTTTGTTATAATCAATATTAGTTATCACTTTAAATATGTTTGGATTATGAATTGTGAATAGCTAAATAATATTTTAATTGACATTCAGCATATATTAATTTTGCTTATTGATTTATTAAAGAAATAGAAAAAACTATTATAATTCTTCAAAATCATATATTAGTGATTAGAATTTTAGCTTCATGATTCAAAACTAAATATCTAAGTTAAATGTATAGTAAACTTTGCCAATCATTTATATGAATTATTGATGCAATTTATAATTGAATAAAATACAGTTTTACGAACTTATCAAAAGGAACAATTAATAAATTTACCTTCTAGTTAAATGCTCATGAAATGCTTGATAAGGTTTATAAATAACATGAATTTCTTTAAAATCTTGTAAAAAACTTTGAAATGTTTTTTGTTAATAAGTTATTAGAAGTAGTGGATTCTTTATCTAGTGAAGAATTTGGAAAAAATTTTGATGATTTAAAGAAAGGAATTACTAAAGCTTTAGAATATTTTAAAAAATGACTACTATCTTGGCTTATTTACCATTAGCTATTTATCTTAGTAATAATAATGCTAGACCTTTTGCTTTTAGCTTTTATCATGTAATTTTAAAAAAGCCATGAATTAAATCACCAATTGCTCTAGAGTTACGCTTTGCATTAGAAAATGATTTAAAAAATAAAATAATGGATAGCTTTGGTCTACAGGAATTACTATTATAAAATAATGATTTTCTTAAGGAATTTGAATAATTCGTAATGATGATAGATTGATTTTTCTAATCTATATGAATTTGTCAAAACTCAGATCTATTTTACCAACAACAGGTAGAAGGCCTTTTTAATAAACTAGATCCAAAGACACATTCCAATATATCACTATTGGTTAAAAAATCCAAACTTTGATTGTTTTCAACCAAAATTAGCAAAGAAGATTTATCAGAAGAATGTTCTATTTAAAGAAACTCAACTGCAACAACCATTTGGTTTTCAGATTATTTTAATAAGTTAATTACATTAATAAAATTATTTTAATTATTTGATTTGTTGTATATTAATTGACATTATATAATTAAAAAATAAAAATTACGATGTTGTTACAAAAAAAATCGTTAATATAACAGGGTGTTACATATACATTTTTCCCATATATAGTTTTTATTAAATTTATCAGAAATCTATTATTATGTATACTTCAAAATATTATTTTAAAGTATAAAATAAAATAATTTAATTTAATTTAATTTAAATTTAACAATAATTATTTCTTTCTTTTATTCTAAAAACAGATTTGTTAGTCTTATATTCGGGTTTCTATCTTTTCTATCTGAATAAACAAATTATATTTCTATTTCTTTTTTTTTTTTGCTGTCCATAAAAAAAAAAAAATTGCAGTCCTTTAATAAAAATTTTTTTATAGGTTTCATTAACTAACTACTTTACAATAAATACTTTTGTACTTTGAATAAAATTTTCAATATTTTGTAATCTAATTAATTCGTTAAAAATATTCTATTTTTCATCATCCAAAACTGGTAGAAAAGTTGCAAAAGTTAAATAACTAGTATGACCTTTGACTTCATTAGGTGTTTTGGAAACATACAGATTTGGAGGATCTGCTTTTGATTTAGAAAGTTTGCTATCAGCATTGGCAATGTCCTGTTCATCTCGATCTTCCTTACGTTTACGTTTTTTATCTTGTTGCAATTTAATTTTATTTACAGCATCAGCAACCGTATAAATAGGTATCGTTTTAATTTCATGTTCACGAATAAGACATTCATACATCTTAATTTCTATTGTAATAATCGAGTTAATATATAATTTAGTTTTGCCATAATAATTTTTTTTATAAAACTACTTACCAACAAAACCATTTTCATTCAAGGACGCGCAAGTACGTTGTACTTGTTCAATGCATGGACTAAAGCAACTTATCTTACCTATACGTTTTTGCTATGAAAAAGATCATGTATTGTGAATTTAAGTAATTAACAAATAAATCAAAATATTTAATAAAAAATACCTTAAATGCTTCTTTAGCAGCTGGAATTGCCTCCCATGGTGCAGGTAAATCCAAAAATACTATTTTGTACAAATAAACAAAGAAATTATCAAAAGGTAAAGTTAACTTTTAAAACGCGTGATTATTTACCAGCATGGACCAAATCGGTAACGCCGAAACCATTTTTGCAAACATCTCTACATTCTATTGTAATGAGATCCGACAAGCCATGCTCTTCAAAGTCTTGCCTAGAATAAATGAATATAATTTACTATTAATGAATTCATGGTTCAAAAAAAAATAAAAATAAAATAAAATCATCATACTTTACGGCTTTTGCCCGCTCTTCGTGGAATTCAAATGTATACAAATGACCATTTGGTGCAATTGTTCGTGCCAGAGAATGTGAAAATGATCCACTACCCGTTCCTATTTATTAAAAATATTGATCGAATTAAAATATAAATATATAATTTCATATAATACTATATTAATTACCGGATTCTAGTACGATAGAACCAGGTTTTAAATCGAGGTACGTTGTTATATAAGAAATATCAGCGACATATAAAATTTGAGTCCTATGTGGAACTACATGGGTCCATAATTCTGGCGTTGGGTGAAGTAAATACATAAAACCTCTACCATTATGAGAAGGCATCTATAAAATCAAATCTTAATTAACTAGTAAACATAAAAATTAAATTAAATTCACGTTGAATATTACTTACTTTTGTACCATATTCTTTACCTATCATGTCTTTATGTTTAAATATTCCAAATTTGTTGTTATATGTTTTCTTGGAATCAACTATAAGTGGTGTCATATTTTCGCGTGACTTTTAAAGAAATATGTTAAATAATATAAATTAAAATAAATATCTTTATGTAAACTTACTAAATAAGCAATAACTAATTCGCCTTCTTCGATGTGCGTCTTATAATGTAAAAAACTCATGGTGCAGGTTTTTTTTTTTTTTTTGATAAACTTGATCAAATATTTGGATCAATGACAAAATGATAAGATTTAACTTTTTTTGACATGCGAATAAGATAAAGAAAATTTAGGGTATTGAAATTTTGATTTTTATTGGTTGATCGACAATGATTCTGATTGGCTAAAATCAAGAAAACGGTTTCATGAAAAGATCATCCATTTTGTTCCTGAATTAATCAAGTTTTTTAAGTGTAACATGGTAGGCAATCTAATTATATATTGGTCAAGATCATCGGTTCGAAATTCGTAAAAAGACACTTTAAATTAACCACGAATTTTTCGTTTATTAACAAATAATGAAAAGCTATTTATATTATATTATATTATATATAAATCATTTTCGATCAAGAATATATACATTATTTGCGGATAAAATACAGCTCTATTAAATATTATGTAACATCCTCACCTAAATAAGTAAATACATAAGAATTAGCTGAAGGGATGCTACAACGAAAAGAAAATAAATTCGTTTTTTTCGTTGTGGACTATTAACAGTATTTGTGTTTGTGGAATCAGGAAAAACGACATATCTGAGTGATCGTAACTATAAAGAAAATAAAGTAAGAAATATGCTAGCATAAAAATCAATTTATATTAGAGAGAAGATAATAAATACCAAGAAAAATCCATTTGCCGAAGCGGTATATACGAAAATAACAACCTCCATCCAAAAAGGTGCTATTAAACCAACAAGTAGAGTAACGATAATGCTGATCATTAAAAGAAATTAAATTTCAATTAGAAATTGTATTTCATCAACATAAAATTATAATTTTTAAAAAGATATATTATATACCCAATAAATTTATATCCCGAATACGCTAATAAATCAAATATCTGAGTTTCAGTTGTAATGTTTAATAAATAACAACCCATTTTTATCAGAACCAATTCTAACACCATAACGAGAGATGCGGTTGTAGCATTTACTCCTAAAACTTCCGGATGAAATCTAATTGAAACATTTATTAATTAACATTTTTAAAAAAAATAAAAAAAGAGAAAAAAAAAATAGTAATTTTAAATTTACTTTTGTTCTGTTCCAGCAACAAACCCTGTAAGTAGTACATATGTTACCAGAGCCATCGCTGGTATATATAAATCTGGTGAATTTATATCGTCTCTGGGTGGTTTAAATCCTTCCATTTGTCCGTTCTGTTCAGAACGTTTAACGAGCCGTGACCATGGTCGATGTCTCCATGGAAATAACAACAATCTGATTTTATTGGCCACGTACAAGTTATTTACTTTAAAATAATGTTTTAAAGCAGGAAAATTAACATATCGATTAATCTAAAATTTTAATTTGTTAAGTTAAACAAACCTCTTAAAAGGCACATCAAGATTTAAGTTGGTATTGTATTTTAAAGAAATAAAACTTACATTTTTTTCGACGTATTCACTTCCTGCCATCATTGCAGTTCTCCCAAATTGCATTCCCATTTGTGTTGTAGCATCATTAAATTTCCACGCGTCATTGTATTCGTTTGGTCCTTGCTGCATATGTTGTTGGTGTGGATGTGGAGGTGGAATATGCTGGTGTTGATGTGTAATTCTCTGTTGTGTAGGTGGTGAAGGTGAGGAGGCCGGAGGATCGACCATTTGAATTGGTGGGTGAGTGGGAATTGGATGTTGTAAGGGAGGTGGAGAAACCGAATGTTGTTGTGGATAATAGGTATAAGAGGGAGGCGGTTTTTGTTTAGGTGGGTTGTTTGGATTGTACATTTTTGCAACGCTTATTATCGAGAAATTGAAACCAGTTTTTTTTTTTTTTTTTATTGCTAGAAAAAATTTAATAAGTTTTGAGGTTGAACTTGGATAATTATGATTGGCCGAATTATTTGAACATTGTTCATCATTCCTTTTTAAACTTATTTTCGTGTTTTTCTGATAATTCAAAAAGTTTTCATAATGTCAATTACTCCAGCGAGTTTTAGCTATCTCACAGCTTATGGTCCTCCAAGAGCTGCCTCTTACTCTCCTGTTCCCTCAGAACACAGTAAGTTGCTTTGATGATTTGATGAACGTTAAGCAATTTCCTTTGAATTAGTAATTATTAAACTTTCCTTCCTTCAATAAAGGTCTCGCGCTTGATGAGGTAAACCTATGATCATTGCATTCATGTTTCAAATAAAGTTGTTATAGCTTTTCAACTTTATTATAGGAAGTCAGATTATATACCAATAATAAAGACAGAGAAAAATATGAGAATTTGGCAGATTTATACGCTATTATTGTAACAATGGAACATTTGGAGAAAGCATATGTTAGAGATTCTGTCACTGCTTCCGAGTAAGATTAATTATTCTCTCGATTTAATTAATTCATGTAAAATGAATCACTAATTGAATTATTCTTAGATATACAAAAGCTTGTGCTCAATTAATAGCACAGTACAGAACAGCACTTAATTTAGTATGTGATTCCATAACGGATGTTGAGAAGTTTATGGAAAAATTTATAAGAGAATATAAGGTATGGTTTCTAATTGAGATTTGATATTTTGATTTATTTATTTATATTTTACTGATGTAACTTTATTATATCAGTTAGAATGTCCAGCGGCAGTAAATCGATTCAAAATAGGGGTGCCCGCCACAATCGAACATCCCACTGGTGCTGGACATGATAACAGTAAATTTGCACAATACGTTGCTGAAACGGTTCATGTAAGTTGTGCTTTGTTTTACTACTGTACGGGATATCTTTATTAATTATATTTTTTTTTTTGTTATTTAGCATTTGATTACTACTATGGATGCGCTAAAGTTAGGCATGAAGGCTGTGGACTATATACATCCTATGCTTAGTGACTTAATACAAAGTTTAAACAATGTTAGTTCGTTACCTGCTGACTTTGAGGGTAAAGCAAAGATCAGAAATTGGTTAATTACGTTAAATGGAATGAAGGCCAGTGATGAACTTAACGAAGAACAAGTTCGACAATTATCATTTGATCTTGAAAATGCCAATAACGCGTTTTATCGTTCTCTTTCCGATAAGAATTAATTTAATGACGCAAGGACACTATGAATTTGCAATATTTATTATGCTGATTAATTATAATAAAACGATAGTAATAATAATGATACATAATATTAAAATATATCTATATTCCTGCCCTCCAAATCCATTAATCTATGTAAAGTATACAATGATGTCTATGTCTATATTTGTAAATATAATAGATGAATCAACTTGAAATTTGATGCCTTTAAGGAGAATCTATCCTAATAAGGATCTCTACAATTATTTCAGTTTTCCTTCAACTACCTCATTTACACAGAATTCATACTTCGCTCGTCAGATTCTGATGCATCTCCCATAACATCTTCGCTGCTAAATTCTTCTCCCGCTTCAATGCCATACCCTAACGAATGTCCATTAACAACTTTTTCTTGATTCCGGATTAAATAATTTTCCTTAACAGTATCGTTATCATTGTCAGTTTCGATTGAATTTACAATTACTTCATCATTAAAATGCCTTCTAAAATTTGTCGTCAACTTGTATTTGTTAGTTTCTTGATTCTTTTCCATAATTACAAATTCACAGGTACATAAATTTTCTAATGATTCAAATTCTTCTACGGACCAATGAAACCAACGCATCACAAATAATCTGAAAATGATTTAAAATATTTGTATCATTATATAGTGTAAATAAAAATGCTTATGATATTTGAAGATAATGATTGTTACCTTGATAATAATCCATGAGAAACGATCACCAAAACCGAAGGAAAATTGGGAGAAGCGAAAGCACGGTGCAATCTAAACTCGATGTACATATTTTTTAAACAATGTTTATTTAATTAAATTCTATAGAGGTATGAAATATAAATAATAACTTACGTCTCTTGAAAAGTTGAAATTCTATCGTATACATCAGCACCACTTTCGCCATTCGGTATACGATAGAAACTATAAAAATAAAATGAATTGAGTGGGTTTCATAAATAAATTATGAATAATTTAAGGAAGACTTACAAGTGACCATAAGATTTTCTTTCCATTTTGATCCTTGACATTTCTTCAGGTGGTCCTTGAAAGTTTCCCCAGTCTATTATTAAATCACATGTCAAAAGTTGAATATCATAAAAGTTAATGTACAAATAAATATCCTTGTGGTGAAATAATTACTTACCTTGTTCTCTCAATCTTGGTTCTTCGCAATACTTCCACCTTCTTTTATCTAATGCTTTAGACATATTTTCAAATGTTTGTCTGGTTCTTAAATAAGGGCTAACATAGAACTGAACAATATCGTCAGGTTTAAGTAATTTATTAAGACGATGTCCGGCTTCAATGGCCTGTTCCACACCCAATTTTGTCAATTTGATTTTGTGATCAGGAACCCATCGGTGAATAGAAATATCAACATTGGCTTCTGATTGTCCATGTCGAACGAGGATAATTAAACGTGGTCGCATTATTCAGTACCGTTTTTTTTATAGTCTCAAACAATAAAAACTTTTAGTACTTTTAATTAGAATCGAGAGGGTAAAGTTAGATAGAAATTTTCCGGCTATATAATATTTATCGGATTTATTCAAAATTTCTTAATTAGGTAGTTCGGTTTTTGTCTTGAAATTAAAACAATCGTAAATTTTATGTAACATGATTGGCTAAAATTTATCCCCAAATTTACATCACTTACATAATGCAAATCTGAACCAGCCAATTAAATTTATGTATTCTCAACTTATTTGGTTAATAATGATATATCAAAAATTACATCTATTGGAATTGAACAGGCCTATAGTCAGCAAACTTTATAATCTTTTTTAATAAAATTTCATCTCACGTGACCTTATCTACAAAAAGTTAGGATATGTGATTATATAAATAATTATTTTACTATGTTACACTTCATTTGTTTTATTTTTTACTATGTTATTTGAGAATGTTTTTTTAGATGTGAAATCATATTTGTCACATATTATTTGTCATTCTTATTGATCAGAGTTTATGTAAGTTAAGAAGATCTGCTATTTGTTGGGTTTACTAATTTATCCCTAGGCTTAGATTGGTTAGTTTAATTAAGATTAGTTAGGGTTAGAGTTAGAATTAGGGTTAGGGTTAGGGCTTAGGTGATTTATCATCAGCGTGATACTGGTAGTGTTTCAAATTTTATTAAGTATCTGAAAGACTGAGGATTTTTTTAAATATTGATGTTAATTTGTCACCCTTTCAATATATGATAAATAACATAGTTAAATATACTAGCCAATCAGAGCCTGAGGGTAAATTAGTGAAATCCTATTTGCTACAAATCATATATGTCTGAACTTTTTTATAAATGATGTTTAGGAAGTTAATTTATTATATTATATTACATCTCATTTATTATTTATTAAAATATAATTTTTATTTGTTATCTTATTATGTCACATGATTAATTTTGATCAAGTATTATAATGCCAACCAAAAATTAGTGGGTAAAATTTTTTGTGATAATATAGAAATAAATATTATTATAGTGTATCATAACTATATTTATCAAGAATTTAGAATAATTTCTAATCTTATTTAGTTTACTAATTATATAAAATGAGATTATATTAATTAAATGCTAAAATTCAGAAAACTGAAAAGTTAAATTTTAATTGAATTATATGTATAAATTTGATCTTTATGTATAAATAATAAATCATAATATTAAAATTATCTTTTATATATCATTTAATCTTATTAAATTAAGAATGTTATCAGGATTTCATGAAATTTTATAATAGGAATAAATTGAAAATATGTAAAAATAGTGATATATTAACTAATGTCAAGGGTTAGAATTGTTAAATTACATTAATTTTTGCTATATTACAGTTTAATTTGTATCATTTTGTTTGGTTTTTAATATTCAAAATTTAATATATTACATAATCAGTAAATAATATTACAAATTAAAGTATGAATAAAAGGATAAATTTATTCTTATTTAACTTGATCAATAACAAATATTCAAAAGTTATCATATATATCACTTCAAGTATTTACATATGTTTAAGATCATATTTTCACAAATTTGATGTAAATAAGCATTCTTTTTTTTATATTGTAATTCAAAACATATTATATGAAAATAAAAGAAAAATATTTTTTTTTTGAAAAGTACAGCTAAAATAATATTTATCAAACTTAATAATACTAAATTTTATGATATTATAACAAAATTTTATTTTACATATAATAATAAAATTTTAAATGTTATAGGTTAAAATTGTATATTTTACTAGTTTTAAAAAGTTATAATTTAAATTAGTATCAACTTTTTAATAAAAAAAAAAAGTATAAATATCATTATAAAAAATTGATTTTTGCTTGTAATTAGTGATACCTAATAAAGCTATCTTTCTTAATATAACAAAACTGATGAAACTGAAATAATAAAACTAGTTTTTTATTAATAATAAAACTATTTACTTAATTGCTAAAATTATATTAACTTGATTGAATTAATATACATTAAAATTATATTTATTTATATAAAAATATTAAAGAGACAAATTCTTTTGACAAAACTACAATTTTTTAAAAAGTATTTAGGCAGATATTACTACTTGTAACCTATATTATAAATTTCTGAGATCTTATATTATTAAGAAATAGCAAAAACTTTATAAATAGCAATTTCAAACATTATATAATAGGTTTAAAAAAAAAAACAGCTTCAGATACAAAATAAATTAGATAAGAATGAAAAAGCTGATGATAATATTTTTAATCTAGAAATTTTTATGCAAAAAAATATAAAGATAGTAATGATAGTAAATAGGAGGATAAAATTGATATTAATAAAATTAGGTAAATAAAACAAATAAAACAATTATTTTACAATAATTTTTATTTAATATATATGTATTTTAACATGGAGTACAAATAATAAATTTGAGAAAAAAAAGGGTTTATTTATAAAATTAGCAGTTAGTACTTTAAAGATCACAAGTTTTTTTTACTCAATCTAATATTAATAATGCAATTACAAATTTAAATCATTATAGAATCAATAATTTCATAAATGCAAAATATATTTAAAATTGCAAAGAAAAAAATAAAAGATGCTTGTTGAAAATCAGGAGGCTATACAATATGATAGATTTGGTTATCTATCCCTTTTTTTTAAACATCTAGAATTACATGATCATATTTATAATTTGGTTGAATTTAATTCAGCTGATGAGATATAATTAAGGTTGCTTGTCTAAACTCATTTTGGATTTGGCAAAACGGTTATACCTTTAGTTTCGCTAAATTTTTACTAAGTGTTTGATATAGTTTCGCCATTTTTATAAGCTTTGATATAGTATTACTTTTTTTTCAAATTTTGCAAATTTTTTAATAAGGTTTTAATATAATTTAACCAAGTTTTACTTTTACCATTTAGATGTTTGTCTAAATTCTTGATTTCGTTCAGCAACCTTAGATATAATAAAAGAAATTGTAAAAGTTTAGATCATCGAAAATTTGCATAAAAATCTTAAGAAGAAATATAATGTTTATATAACGTAAACAACTTTTAATTATTTATTATCATACCAATTCAATTCTATTGCTGCAAAAGCTCATCATTATTTAGCATGAATTGGAGTAATTGGAGTTTACAAACAGAGACATGTGATCATCTTAATAATTATTATTGCTTTGCATCTATTAAATATCCATTCACTTTAGGATAAAAAATTATAGACATTATATAATCATATTCAAATAATTCATTTGGATTTAAAAAATAGTATAGGATTTAGTAATAAAGCATTAGAACTGATATCGGGTTAATATCCAAATCTGAAGTATTTCAATTTATGCAATAATCAGGATAAATATTATTATACTCATCGAAAAGTAGATAACAGAGGTCTATATATAATTGCACAATCATATTATAAATTAGAATTTCTAAATATTTATTACTACTCAGAGTTTACTGAATTATTAATTTGTAATATTATTATTCCTGCCTAAAGCTCTAGTATCTTAACTTTAGTTTTATAAAATTACTAATATAACTATCAAAAAAATTGCTAGAATATTTTAATTTAAAAGAATGTGATAAAATTAGTAAAAAAGCTGTAACTGAGCTTATTTCATTTAATCCAAATATCTGTGTCAAGAATTTTGTGAAAACTTTAACACACCTTATTTTTATTAGTATATTTAGAGATTATCTAATAATTGCTTATCTCAGTTATACCAGCAACTTAATCCTAATACATATATAATTAGTCAATCTTTGAATTAAAATAGTTTTTCTGCCTTAATATTAAAAGTGTTTGAAAACATATTAGCTGATCAAGTTAAATAGTACTTTACTGATCTAATTAGTATAAAGTAATGATTATTAGCTTAATAAAACTGCTGAGCTATGCGAAAGTCTTACAGCTAATACATGTATTTCATATGATAAAAATAAATAAATCATATGATAAAGTCTATATGATAGCTAAAGCATATTAATTTTACATATATATATTAAGTAAAAGCATTAATCAATCTAAAAAATCTATCATTTTTTTTTCGAGCGTCAGAAACCAAAAATATTTTTATATTTATTAGTCAGCTTTACTTATAACTGTACCTTCAGTTGAATGTATAATTTTTTTGTAAACACAAATACATATATATAAAACCATACCTTTATAAGCCTCTACATCTTTTTCTCCAAGCTTAATAATAGAAAAAAATTTTTCTTAAACAATATTAGATATGATTAAAGATTTTAATATAGAAGAATTTATCAAAAATTTGGAAAGAAAAAACTTAAAAGAGAAAATTGCTGGTTCTGACTTTTTTAATATAACTAAAGAAGAGTTTTGAACTTATAATATGAAAGTTAGTGCTATAAAGAGACTTGTAAAATTTATTAAAGATTTTAGCAAAAGTTACAAAACTATTTCTTACTTAAAGAGATACTATGTAAAAATAAGATTAATAAGAAAGATATAATAAGTATTAAGCAATTTACTTCTGATGAGTAATTACTCTTCTTTTTATTCTGTTCTAGAATAGTATATTATGTAAAATATCTTATTTTTTCTTTACAGTCTTTGAGAAATTAATGATAATGATAAGGCTTTTAGTCATTATTTAATGGATATAATTTTAAAGCTTTTAAATATGAAGATCATGACTAATGATAACAAAATGATGTGTTGTGAATTTATCTTAGCAATATTATACACATTAATCACTATCATTAAAGATGATTCTCATAATTATTTTTAAAATTTTTAACTAGTTGCAACTTAAGTTGCAACACTTTGAGTTGCAACTA